CTACCTCCTGGGCTCAAGCGATCCTCCCACCTCAACCTCCTGAGTAGCTAAGACTACAAGTGCGCACCACCATGCTCAGCTATGTTTTGTATTTTTTTGTAGAGACAAGATTTCGCCAAATTGCCAGGCTGGTCTCCAACTCCTGAGCTCAAGAGATCCGCCCACCTCGGCCTCCCATGGTGCTGAGATTATAGGCATGAGCCACCGAGTCCGGCCCCTAGTTGAATTTACATAATCTTGTCTGCTGCTTATTGGGGGACTTCCCTCCTCAAGAGATGTTAAACTTCATAAGAGTAGGGGCATCATTTATAAGCTCTCCAGAGGTCCCAGTAAAGTGTGACCTCAAGATAAGTGATTAAGAGGTAGCTAGAGGTTGGGCATGGTTGTTCACACCTGTAATGCCAGCACTTTGGGAAGCTGAGGCAGGCGGATCACTTGAGGTCACAAGTTCAAGACCAGCCTGGCCAACACAGTGAAAACCCGTCTCTTCTAAAAACACAAAAAATCAGCCATGTATGGTGGCACACGCCTGTAGTCCCGGCTACTTGGGAGGCTGAAGCAGGAGAATCGCTTGAACCCAGGAGGTGGAGGCTGCAGTGAGTTGAGATTGTGCAACCGCACTAGATTTATATTCTTCACCAATGTCGGGAGCTATTGCACTTTTTTTTTTTTTTTTTTGATGGAGTCACGCTGTGTCACCCAGGATGGAGTGCAGTGGCACTATCTCTCATTGCAGCCTCTGCCTCTCAGGTTCAAGTGATTCTTCTGCCTCAGCCTCCCGAGTAGCCGGGACTACAGGCAAGCGCCAACACACCCAGCTAATTTTTGTATTTTTAGTAGAGACGGGTTTCACCATGTTGGCCAGGATAGTCTTGGTCTCTTGACCTCGTGATCTGCCCACCTTGGCCTCCCAAAATGCTAGGATTGCAGGCGTGAACCACCGCGCCTGACCCACTATTGCACTTTTCAAACAATACATTTTGAAATTAAATTACAAGAATAGTACAACCTGGTTGGGCATGGTAGCTCACGCCTGTAATCCCAGCACTTTGGGAGGCCGAGGCAGGAGGATCACCTGAGGTCAGGAGTTTGAGATCAGCCTGACTAACATGGAGAAACCCCGTCTCTACTAAAAATACAAAATTAGCCAGGCGTGGTGGCGCATGCCTATAATCTCAGCGACTCAGGAGGCTGAGGCAGGAGAATCGCTTGAACCCAGGAGGCAGAGGTTACGGTGAGCTGAGATCACGCCATTGCACTCCAGCCTGGGCATCAAGAGTGAAACTGTCTCAAAAAAAAAAAAGAATAGTGCAGCATATACTCGCATACTCTTGACCCAAATTCACCAGTTGATAACATTTTGCCCTATTGCTTTATCATTTTTGTGCCCCATATATATGTATCTACACCATATATACAGATAATATTTTCTTACATAACCACAGACAGTTATCAACTTTGGTAAATTTCACATTCTAACACTAATCTATCAAACAATATCCTTTATACCATTTTTTTTCTTGCAGTACAGGATCTAGTCTATGTTTATGCATTGTACCCTGTCTTTTTACTCTCCTTTCGTTTGGAATAGCCCTTCTTTGTCTTTCATGACATTGATATTTTTGAAGTCCTATTTTTAAAATAGGATGTTCTCATTTTGGGTCAGGATGTTGCCCAATTTCTCCAGGATATAATTACTTTTTTTTTTATTGCTACTAATAAACAATCTGTGGAGAGAAACTGTTAAATTCCTGGAAATATCTTACTCATCAAAAATTTATCCTTGGATTGAGCATCTATTGATAATGTTTGCCTGGACCAATCTATATAAAATGATGATTTTCCAACTCCAGCACTCCCTCCATATTTACCAGTCAGCACATGGTATTCGACTGAAAGCAAAGCCCCTCCCTGCAAAGGCCCTCCCTTGTCTCTCATTTATTTATCTATTTGGTATCACTGTGGACGTATGGCTCCCTAGTTTTCAATGGTTTATAATTCATTACTGTCTTTAATAATATTGGTGCTCACATTACTCAGAATTGGCCAGTGAGAACTCCTAGTTACGCTTTCAATCCGTTAGTAAACATTCCTCAAGAGCACATGGTGGTGCAGAATTCTCGGGTCAAGAACTTTTAGTGATCTGATTTTTGGGATAGTTTATGGGAGTGGTGCTGCATCAGGTTTCAAGTTTCTGTCTTTCCATTACATACCGACTCCCCCTATAGGCAAAAGCAGGGAAGGAAGCTCAAAGCAGTCAAAATGGGAGTTTATGTGTCTTAAGACAGTGATCAGGGCTGGGCGCGGTGGCTCACACCTGTAATCCCAGCACTTTGGGAGGCCGAGGCGAGTGGATCACGAGGTCAGGAGTTCAAGACCAGCCTGGCCAAGATGGTGAAACCCCTGTCTCTACTAAAAATACAAAAATTAGCAGGGTGTGGTGACGAGAGCCTGTAATCCCAGCTACCAGGGAGGCTGAGGCAGAGAACTGCTTGAACCCGGGAGGCGGAGGTTGTAGCGAGTTGGGATCGTACCA